AGACCTGTTTTTATGGTATGGTCCTTAAGTGACTCCTTGGTCATTCCCCTTTCCCCTCCCTCCTACCTAGGGCAGAAAGCTTGCAGAATGTCTAGAACCTTAGTACTACCCCAGGGCTACTACCAGCTATATGATATTGAGAGAATCATTGAACCTTTGCCTGCTTCATTTTTTTCATCTTTAAAATAAATTCCCTCTATTTGTCTTACCTACCTCACATGGATTTTAGTGAGTGTGACAAGCTAGTTCAAATATAAAGGTGCTTTAGAAAATTTAAATACTAGGCAGGAATAACCATGATGACTATATCGTACATTCTGGTCACTATATACCGGGGACACCCCAAATTCTCTAGCACCCGTCTCATCCCTATTCTCTCTGATCCTTCTTAAAATTCACAGTCCTTTTATTTGTTTGTTTTTGCTTTATTTGTTTGTTCATTTGTCTCACAAATCTTTGTTGAGTGACTGTTACATGTTAGGCAATGTACAGAGTATTGTGCTAACCACCTGGAAAACAAAATGATGAATGAGATATCATCATTTTCTTCAAGGTGTTTGTCATCAAACAAAGATCTCTATCGATATACAAATAACATAACACAAGGTAAGGTATTTGAATGCCTTAATAGTAATATAGATGAAACGATACAGAAGATCACAGGAGAGAGGGAATTTCAGGATACTTTGGGTAGCGCTGCTCTAGGAAAGCAGGGTGTTTTCCCCTCTGTTTCTCTCTCCAACTTTGCTGGGATCCAGTAGAAGCTGGTTCTCTCCAAGATTATGAGCATTTGCATCAGTGCTGAGAAGTGGCCCAACTATCCAAGTTCTAGTTTTTAGTCCCTTTGCATTGGCCTTGGGGAAAGAAATGCGATTTTCTCTATTTTTCTCTTATAAGAGGAAAAAAAAGTGAAGCTCAGCAAGGTCAAGAACAAGTCAAAAATTGTTAAGTAAGGCAGACCCTCACTTCTGCAACTATCTAGAGTTTCAGTGTACAAAACAAGGCTTGTTTCAGACTGATTTATTACAAATTTGCCTCTTGAGGTGCTTACTAATGGCTACCCAATAGGATGTTTGCTTTATCCTGGTATCAGGCTGACATCCCTTTTATGTGCAGAGATGCTAGAATTAGTAGAACGCAGGCTAAAAGGAAATTGCAAACCCTGGGCAAGCAAGTTGCAATAGGTTCTATAAACTCCATATGATGTGAGGGTTAAGTCTTAGAAAAGTTTCTGTAAAGCAGCTGTAATTGGCTTATATGTGTGAAAGACATAGAAAAACAATATTTATTAAATATTTAGTATATTACAGGTTTAAGCATTTTATATGGATTGTTTCACTTACGGTTACTCTTATTATCCCTAATTTACAAACAAGGAAACTGAGTCTTGGAGTGACCAAGGAATTTTTCTAAGATTTTGAATAGCGATTGAATAAAGAAATAATGTAAAGTAAGGAAATGAAAGGTTGTTTATAGATGTATCACATGTACACATAAACACTTGTTAAGTGTACATTTACACACGCATTTAAATGTACTCTCCCCAAATTATTTTATGCGGCTTACAACAAAGGATTCATACTAAATAAAGTTAAGAAAATGTATAGTCAAGGCCATGAGAAGAATGAATATACTAACCACAAGCTCACCCTGGGATTGCTCATCAAAATGTGAAAGCAAGAAAGGAAAAACCCTTTCTTGAAGACCCTTTTTAATGCCATTTTACTCAGGAAATCAACAGTTGTTTTTATATTTGCAATCTTACATTATAAAAATCAAATAAAGTCCCTGAAAGTTAGGATTTTCCATATTTTTAAGTTTGGGGCACTATTGACATTTAAAATTTCTTGATATTTATTTTTAAATAAGATAATTAAAATTCTACAAAGTATTTCCTAAATGGCAAAATGCTATATAACATTTAGTTTAAGCCTTCTTGACAAGGCTTTACCTATCTTACAGAAGATTGGAATTCTATTCCATCGCTTCTAGGAACAGGCAATTTTCCTTTTCCAAAATCTGCTGTGCTGGGTGTCTACCTAGCACATGAATCCTTCTCAATAAATGATCTGCAAGAGAATACTGAATGATGACTTTTACTGCCACATAATGTCCAATACACCACCAATACATCATACGTGTTAAAAGAGGCGCTAATATCTGAACCTAAAGGTTCTGTGGGCCCATCAGTCTTCCAGTAGTCATTTCTAGTAATGACTTGCAACCAGTCATTTCTATCCACTGCTTTTGCATCTCTCCTGGTCAGTTAGTACCTGGTACTGTCAGAGGTCTCCAAACTTGAATACAAAACCCCTGGGGCATGTTGCTAAGACTATACGATAGGAGTGTGGAGAGAAAATGTTAAAACCCTTGCTTATTTTTCACCATGCCATATGGCTTGCGAGATCTTAGTTCCCCGACCAGGAAGGGAACAGGCTGGGCAGTAAAAGCACCAAGTCCTAAACACTGGACTGCAGGGAATTCCCTTAACTTTCATTTTTATCTTATGCTTTTTCACTTCGTTTTTATGAATGTATGCTTCATAAAAATAAATAATATATCCACGCAGTGGTACATTTTAAAAATGTATATAGAAATATACATATATCGAGGGTACTCACTCATTTTACTGATAACATGTGAGCTAAAAGTTTGAAAATGTAGCTCTAAATAATTCTGCTAAGCTAATTATACTTCAGTCAAAACAAAAAACAAAAAACAAAAAAACCCAACTTTGCAACCATAAAGAAATGAAGAATGTTTTCCTATACTTGGGGTTGAAGGTAGGGGCAAGGGGTGGGCTGGTCTTTCATATTTTTCATAACATAAATATATTAGCAAATAATTCACAACATTTCACTTAGCAATTAAACATAGCAACTTGTGTTGATTTTTTTTTTTTCTCTCTCTTTTGCTCTTCAAAAAACAGGACAGTGAAATCCTGAGAAAGTTTTTCTGGGTTTTCCTCTATCACTTCTATCTGCCTCTTGTCCCTGAAGTTTGTCATTTGGAAGGAAGGACTACCAAGTTATTCAAAATCTGTGTTGGGTACTAAGAGTCCTCGGTTTAAGTTCCTTTGTCACTGGTATTCTGTGCTATCTTGAACAGTTCCATTTCTCTTATGATAAAATAGAGATAATCATACTTAGCACCAATTTCAAAGCAGTGTGTAGTGTGGATAAAGCACACATTGTTCCTTCCATCAACTAAATGCAGAGCATCATTAATATAATCTTAACATCGGTTTAAATTGCTATTTTATATACTTTCCCCTTTTAAAAATTATTTTCCTTTAAAAAATAAGCAAAACATCCCATTTCCAAATACCACTGCTTGTTTTCTAAACTTTACAAATTTAAATTTTCTCTGTCTCTGTTTCTGGTTCCCATTCTTTCACACACGCGTACATACACACTCATTCGATAACTTTACGGATGTGAGAGAAAAATCTCAAGATAACTTAAGGAAATAAAGAGGGATTTGAAATAAGTTCTTTTATCCAGCTTTCCTTTAACTTTTAAAGCTACACATCTAGGCCATAAAATCGTGGTGTTTATTTAATCTTCAAAATGTTTGTGTTTAAGAATAATTCACAGACTCTTAAATCAGAAAGAACCTTAAGGAAACATCTAGAGCCTGCGATAATGTCTTGTACACAGTAAATGCTGAATAAACTATATTTAGTGACAGAACACTGGGAGAAGATTCTTACTGTAACTTAAAAAAGAAAAAAATGAAAACAAAATCCCAAACTAAATCTGAGCATTAGAGGGGCTAAATTAATTGCTCAAGACTGTGTAGTGAGTTTAAGAGTTGGGTCTAGAATTTATTCCTCATAGTTTCTAGCTATGCTGTTTTCCCAGCAACCTGTTGACTTGCTTATATAGCACTGTCAAATATAATCTGTCAAAGACACAGCATAGGAAAAAAAAAAATCAGAAGGCAGAGTCCTTGGGTTCACCATCTCCCAAAGTCACCCAAAATGCTCATATATGATGTGAAATATGTAAATATCATATATATAATATGCAAAATATAAATCTTGCACATATTGACTCAAAAGGTCTATTTTTAAGGAAAAGGGTCAACAGTCAACCTTCCATGACTTACTCTATTTTACAGCACTGTTTGTGTGGCGCACAGGTGATCCGCAGTCCTCTGACCAGTTAAAAGCAGAGTGGCTGTTTCAGCAAAACGATTATCTCTGTTTCTGTGTATTGTTGTGTTGATTTTTCTCAACTTACCTACGAATGAAGCATTAACAACCCGAATCCATTACCGTCCTAATAAACTTATCTCGGACTATTTTGGCCTGTGTGATAGCTGACCCATTGACAAAAGAAATCCAAGCTGATAAAGGTTTTCCTGGCCACTTGTTGGCCAGGTCATGCTGTGAAATCATAACACAACGCACGCCTCTTCCATGGGGCACCGCAAGGCGACGATTAAAAAAAAAACACCCCTCACTTCCATATCCAGTGGAGTTGTAGTTTATCACTATAACCCTCCCAAGTCAAAAGGACGCCCATTTCAAGCCTTGCCACTTGGTGCAGACAGGGCTTTCCCCTCAAGCCACTCTGCTGGGCCTCTCTACCTGTCCGCTCCCACTGTCTACAGGTCCCGAACACTAGAAAACAGAAAATGTGAGGATCTTTGTGTGTGTCTGTAAAACGTGTGTGTGCGCGCGTGTGTTTGGGTGTAACGGGCCTTCTGTTTGGCCGCGCGGCCTGCCCGTCACGGAGCGGGCCAATGGCAGGCTGCCTTATATAAAATGAGTGTTTTCAGGCTCTCCGGGTTGCATGTACTGTATGTGGAGCAGTGTACAGTGAAGCGGAGGCAGCGCGGCTCCGCGAGCTCCTCTCCACTTTCCCATAGGGAGCCCCTGACTGGCCGCCGAGGGCGAGCCACACACGCGCCCTCGCGCCCGGCGAGCCCGCGAGGTAAGCGCCCCCATGCCCAGCCCTTCCCGGGCGCTCGCCCCGCACTTTCTGTTTTCCTACTCACTTGCGAGCCGCTGGGCTGCAGCCCCAAGGACTCCGCGGCAGGAGCAGCGGCGGCGGCGGCAGCCGGTAGGCTGGACTTGAGGAAGACGGAGGGGACCCCGCGCGTCCGGAGCCGCCGCCAGCCGGCCCGCTCCCCGGGCACTTTCCCCCTCCGCCAAAACTTTGGGTCGGGAGAGGTCGGGGGCGAGGGTCGCGGCGGCCGCGCCGGCGGCGGGCGGGGGGCGCGGAGGCAGTACCCTGCGGGCGGGAGGCTGGGGGCCGGGCTGGGGAGTAGTAGGCCAGCCGGTGCCAGGCTGCGTTTGCAACCAGCACCTCTCGGCAACACAGGCAGCGCCGCCCGCGAGGGGCACGGGAGCCGGGGCGCGGGCAGCAGCAGCCCGAGGAAAACAACAACAGAGCCCTCACGCCGGCGGGCGGCTCGTGGCCGCCCGGGGAGCCCCAAACTTCATCTCGGCGAAAGTACGTGGAGCCCCCGCCGGGGCTCGGCTGCCGGGGAGGTGGGGCCTGGGGAGTCGGGGCAGGAGAGGAAGGTACGAGCAGCCAGCCCTCGGTGGATTGATTGAACGTTTCGAGTGCGTCGGTGACCGGGAACAGTTCATCTGGAGAGTTGGGATCTGGGTGTTCCGGCCCCGGAGATCGGTGCCCTCTTACCGCCGCCCCCCCCCCCCCCAAACGCGCGGCGAGTAGAGAAAGTGCTGTTTTAGTGCCAGAGTGGCTAGGAGGAAGAATAGGGGGAGAGGGGGAAGAGGGTGAGGGAGCAGGGGAGAGAGCAGGGAGGGGACGCCGGGGGGAGGGCAGGGGAGCGAGCGAACGGGAGAGAGAGGGAGAACGCGAGGACGCGAGGAAGAGAGGAGGGGGAAGAGGAGGGAGGCTGTGTCAGGATTTTGCTTGAATGTGGGATTATGTTGTGTCAATAAGTTTAAGGTGGAGAGAGCGAAGCCGGGGGTGGTGGCGGAGGGGAGGAGGAAGGCCTTGGCTGTTACAAGTCTTATTTCTGAAGGTAAGTTACGGCATTGCATGGTCGCGATGACAGAAAACTTGCAGATCCTTTATCCGGGGATGGGGTCGACGGCTCGAGAAAGAGCTCCCCAGCCCTCTGAAGCCACACTCGTGTTACACTGTTATTTGCTGCGATCCGGGTCGCTAGTAAATTACCGAAATCAGACTCGAGGTTTCTTTTCCTCCTCCACCTCGTCTCGCTCGCTCGCCCTCAGAAATGTGTTATTATCATTATTTTTTTTTATATTTTGGTATCGTATGAAACTTAACGTGAGTCCTGTAATCTACAAGGACCCTGAATCCGAGAATCTGGAACGCGTTTCTGTGTGAAATACCCACGATCATTTCAGCTAAATGAGGAAGGTAAAACGAAACGATGCAAAAAGCTAAGACAACATGTACGACAGAGGACGGGGGGGGAGAGGGAGAGACGGAGAGAGAAGCTATTTTCTGCTCTCCTTTCTGTAGAAAGGAAAATAAAGCGCGCATTGCCCTTCCCTCCCGGTGCGTAGGGTCTAGCCAGTATTTTAACTATCTGAGGACAGATGAGTCCAGGTGGGTCTCGTTGAAAAGTTTCGGGAGGTGGGGTGGAGGTGGGGGGGGGTGGTACGAAGGGGAAGGTGGGTGGAGGTGGTGGGGGATGGGGACGCAGCGAGCTCTGCCTCTGCTAATGGTCATTGGCCTGGGGCTTTGAAACCATTGCCTGTCCTGCTAATGACACGTCCAGTTCCAGCCTCCCGGCCGCGGACGCCGGGCTGCCGGGGACTGGGGTACTTTCCCCGCGCGGGGAGGGGCGTTCTTCGCCATCCCTTGGGGTTGCCCACTCGCGGCGTGGGAGCCCCCCCCCCCCCACGCGCGCCCTCTCTTCTGCGCGCCGCCGCCACCTCTGCTCGCTTCACTTTTGTAGCCAGCCCGCGGCGAGGGGGCGCAGGGGGTCCCCGGTGCGGATGTCCCCGCGCGGCCACCCCGCTCCCGCCCCACGCGCGCCGCGCGGTCCAAGCCCGGAATGGCAGCGCCGGGCCGGGCGGCCGTGCCTCCCCGGGGGGCAGCGGAGGCAGCGGCGGTGGCGGCGGGATCTTCGCCGGGGCCCGCGGGAGGAGGAGGAGAGGGAGGAGGAGGGGAAGGAGGAGGAAGACGGGGAGAGGGAGGTGTTTTCTGCCCAGACCGCCGCCAGTTCGAGCGGGCACGGCGACGGGGCCACCCCACTCGTTGCTTCTCCGTTATGGAAAGGTGTTTAGCAGACTTTTACGCCCGGAGTGTGGGATTTACACTTCATTTTTTTTTCTCCCCCCTCTTCCCCAAAGCAAGATGGACTCTATTCCCTTTCTCTTTCTCCCTCTGCCTCTGTCTTGTCAGCCTTTAAGATCGACATTTTGTACTAAGATGCAAACTTGATGGTGACCAGCAACAAAGCCGGGGTGGGATCCCTCGCTCCCTTCCCCCCTCTCGGGTTCCCATCTCCCCCCACCCCGACCTCGAAGACCTGGTGGCCCTACACCAGACACCGGGGGCTCTGGCGAATGTGTTCCCCGCTCGGTTCCGATCTCTAATCTCGGGATTGTGACCGGGGCCGGGCGTTTGGGCGACATATGTGGCCGCCCAGGTCTGCAGGGCTCAGGGCTGCGCTACCTGGTCCCGCTGCCGTCGCCTTGCCAGCTCCGGCCGGCTCCTGAGCTTGGGGAGACTCGGACTGCCTGTCGATTGCCACGATTTGGTTCCTTGTGCATTTCTCCTGGGGGCGGCGATCACTTGTGCAAGTTGATGAATGATTACGGTGTGGGTTTGGGTTGTGCAGAATAGATCAACTTTCTGCCTTGTACATTACCGGGAGTAGGGAGAAAGTGTGCTGGAGACACCCTGGAATGCCATCTGGGCTACCCTTAGCCTCTGCCCTTGGAAAACAGGGAGCTCTTTGCCTTAATTGCCCCACAGCGCGTAGGGGTGGGGATGGCGAGAAGGAGGGGTTGGTGGGGAGCGGGCCTCCTGGGTTTCGGGGTCCTTCCTTCGTAGATGTTGCAGGAGTTCGCACTCAACTGTAAACCTCTATCATACTGATGATGTACCTTTATTTGATACTTTATAGGTCACTATCATATGACAGAGGCTTTGCTGCAGTTCATCTTCCTCTCTGTGTACTTTCCATTTGCCTTCCTGAGTAAGTATGCAAACTCTTCATATAGGGAAGCTAGCTGGTGTTAGTAATGACCTAAGGGTCCTTACTGTACACGTCAGAAGATGCCTTGTTGGGCTTGTAGCACCCCAGAAATCTTGTCTCATTGAGTTTCCCGGAGCAGATTTTTAGTATTTAGAATTCGGCTATGGTTATTATTATTTTAACATAGTTTAAATGTCCGTTTAATGTTTTTCTGCAAATAAGTGTCATTTGAATACTTATTTTCTCTCTTTATTTCATAATGAAATTTTGCATAGAGTTGACGGCCTAGGGAATTTAATGCTAGATAATATTGCAGAAAGATTGTAACTTGTGAGTGGAGAGAATTATTAAAAACCCAGGGAAGCATTGCCCAGAAATTACAGTATCTGACATTTGCTTACTTTTTTCTGGGTACTCTTTTCTTGGGAACTTGTGCTGTTTATCACACTTAGCCTTGTAGTAGGGAAGGTGGACTGGGCAGTGTAGTAAATCTAGCATTTAGCATATCAGCTTGATTCAGAAGCAAATAACTGTCCTAATGCATTGAATTTGCTTCAAAATTTATAAATTTGGAGAAATTGGGTATATTTTGACAGTCTGTGTATGTGAAAAATAGCAACTTTGAAATCTGTTGCTAAGTGCTTTTTTCAGATCTGTGCCCCTAATTGGAAAAGTTGGTGAAATAACGTGGGACAGTAAGTGCCTAAAAAGTTTGTTTTTGAGAAGTAGCCCTCTAGGTGAAAACGGAGGGTTTAACATTTGAAAGCAGCATGGTGAGCCCAAACTTCAGAAAACCAACGTGTAATTTTGCTTCTCCACTGCAAGAAACACCTCAGGTATTCTTACATTGCTGACAATTGAAGAAAACTGGTCATACAAATTATGTAAATCAGTTTTGGTGCTTTGTAATAGTATCATACTGAAGACAGACTATATTTTGTGGATGAAAATGAACTTGAATTCAGTTTTCCTTAAAAGAAAAAGAAAAGGGGCCTTATTTTGTTCGGTTCCCTGACTTGCTGGGATACTGTGTGTCACCAAAAGATTGTCTTAATATTGAGAGAAATTGAATTTGAAGGCCAAGCTTTTCTGGTAGTGTTTCTGTATGGTAGCAAAGTATACTTTGACATTGCTGAGAACTTTAGATGATATATAACAGAAGCTCTGTATCCAGCTTTCTTTAATGGAATGTAAATTATCTTGTTATTTCAGATAGTTAGGAGAGCCTCCTAATACGTCACATGCATAACAGTCAGAATGAGATGGGTCTGTAAGATGAATTTAGTGCATACTGAAATATGGGATTTCAGCCTCTTTGATTTTTTTTTTTTAAGCTTGTTTGCAAGAGAAGTTTTTCATTTTTGAACATATGGCAAGAGTATTCAAAACGCATTCCTGATTACTAAAGAACACCACATTTATACATGTGAGGCACATTATTTTGTTCACTGTCGCAAACTTTTAATGTTAGTTCTTTCCCCATGGAAATATGTTTTAACAATTCAGAATTTAAAATGGGAATCAGTAATTTCCAGAATAAAAGCTATCTGATGAGTTCTTGCATTTGTTTGAGATACCAAATAACTGCTTCATTAAAACAGTATTTTCAAGCAAAGTCTTGGTCTTTGAAGTCAGAGTAGTTTTTATAGTGTAAAACTTGAAGGAGTGATTTGAAAAAAATCACACTGACAATGAAATACAAGTTATTTGGCTTGGTTTATAAGGTTTCAGTTTTCAAGATAAGATTTTGGATAAGGGTTTTGCTTCTATATGCCCAAGAGTTTTCAAACCTATTTTATTATTCTGCATACCTCTATTAAATTCTGAAACTGAAGTCTTAATTTGCGTTTCACATTTATTGAAAGAGGGGTTCATCTGTGTTATATCTTAGTGGTGCATCTTTGGATGTATTATGGCAGTTTTAGGAAGAATCTTCCTCTAGGGTCTTAGATACTAACAGAACTTTGCAATTTTGACACTTTCTTTTTTTTATATCCATCTTGATGTTTATATCCAAATTAAAAAGTTCCTGGTTTATGAGTTTGTGAAGTAGCTCTGCTTTTAATGTATATCTAGGTCTGCGGTACAACTTGAAAAGTGTGTAGGACCTTTGACCTTATAGATTTGTTCTTTATACTTCATCCATTGAAACAGATTCGTTTAGACATTGAATTTAAAACATAGCTCTGAGTGAAAGCGAGGATGAACATATAATTATGGCTTGCTTGTGCTGTAAGTTAACTATGTAATTGATAACGTTTTTTGTATATAGTTAAAGAAAGACCAACAGCCTTAAAATAATGTGGCACAACTCATGAAAGTCTAATTCATCAGCTAAAGTTTTTATAAAGCCATATATTTCAGTAAAATTACAGATGTAATTTCTAATTATTAATCATCAGTCAATATACTTAACGGTTTATGTTTTCCTACATTTCATAAAGAATATGGTTAAAGCAAGGGCCATATTTTTAATGGGATCTTACCATGAATATCAATTACTTTTATATTAGAAGTCTTTAATAGAAGTGATAAAGACTTCACAGTTCAACCCTATTAAAAGAAGTTTTTGAAAATAGCCTCACTATAGATATGCCTGTTTTTGCTATACTAAAAGAAATCCCTGGAATTACTAGTCCGTTGCAAGAGTGCAGAAATGTTTAAAATTGTATTTTTAAATGCTCTGAATTACTAAATATAGGCAATTAATTTGGCATGTCGCATCACCACCAGTGTGGCATATATTTTAAAATTTAAGCTTAAACAGGTGTTTAACTTGAGAAGAAGACACTTTTCTTGAACTTGTAGTTTGAGGTCCACCTTGTTTTTAACATTTCCTTACCAAGGGCACCTTTTAAAATAGGTCTGACTGGTATCTCCTGTATTTTTAATCAGCTTCCTCCCTCTCACTATGAAATGAAGACAGACCCAAATTATAAAAACATGGTAATTTCACCCCTTCATTTTTATTACATGCCCCAAGTAAATTGGATGCAAGTGGTCCTCAGGCTATACTTTGAGAAACACTGCTCTGAAGGTAATAAAAACTAAGGCTAAATATTGAATGGACCTTCTTCCATCTTGAAGATTCTGTTCTATAATTCCATCAGTGAGCTTTGTACTACCTCAAGGGCAGTCGCAACACACTGTGTCGGATTGTAGAGATTTCTGTATTTTAAGTCATACCTGAGGAGAGCACCTTTTGGGCTTAGCTTCACTCAACATTCATATGTGTTCATATTATCCTTTAGAAGACAATTACAGTTTCTTGAAATGCCAGGACATCATTGTAAAACTGTAAAGATATATCCAGAAAATCCTCATGTGTTAATGGGTATTGTATTGTTTTCTTTTTTTTTTTTCTTTCAAAGGAAAAGATAAGGTGAAAATTGAAATAAGTACCAATTACGCAACAGAAATGCAAAAGAAGACAAAAGCCAATAAAGAATTCTGTCTAAAAAGTATATATAAATAGAGAATGGAAGAGTAAGGGAATGAAAGATTTAAAGGATTAAATATAGACCATGAAACACTGACATACCTTCCAAAATATAAACTTAATAAGTTAAAAATATATCAGTTCAAGGATCTAGATAGAGTAAAACAACTTCACATAGTGAGGAGGTTGTATACAATATAAAGTAAAATTAAGAATGAATTGGATTTTAGGAAATCTTAGAAAAGTGAAAAAAGTATTGTAAAATATTGATTAAATAATTAAACCAGTAGTTAAATATAGCCCTTGGGTGAAAAGATCAGGGAATAAAGCAGAAACTTCTGGATTGGAATAACTGAGATCCTGAAAAAGACATAAGTTTGGATATTTGTAAAGGGAATAATTAAATAAATGATCAATAAGTTATTTCAGAGAACAAATAAGAATGGGGATAAAAGTTGCTTAAAGCAACTGAATTTCTCAAATGTTTTTGAGATTTGTGGTAAATACTTTTTGTATTCCAATACGCGTATAAAACCTGGAACAAAAGTTTCCTGAGACAGTACTAAGAGCAGTGCTCTGATATTTTTCTGTTCCTATCTAATCTTTATAAACCTAATCTGTTCCAAACTATTTTATTAAAAAAAAAAACAGCGTCATTCATGAAATTTATTTTATGACTTAAATTAAAAAAACACTGGTATGCTTACAAAACACAGAAATTTCCAGGCCTCATCTTCATATTCTGATTCAGTGTATCTGGGGTAGGGCCTTGGAATCTGCATTTTAACTAATACTGCTGGTGATTCTGAAGCAGTTGTGAGGTCCCCTGATACTCTTGGAGGAATTCTCATTTAAGGGACTGATGGATAAAGATTGAATGGATGTTACGTACTTGAATGTGGAGTTAGAGTTTATTGACTACTGAGGTCTCTTCCAGAGCTTCAAGATTCTATGGCTGTATTTCAGTCAGCATGTTTACAATACTCAGAGGACCCTTATCCTCCACCATAGATGTTCCATTGTAGCAGGTGTAGAATAGGAAGCAGAGGCTTTGCAGCTGAAGAGCCCTGGGTATCACTCTTGATGGCTCTCTAGTTTATAAGCTGAGGGACTTTGGGCTTATATGGACACAG